TGTTAGGTACAATTGGTTCATTACATCTGTTAGTTCTCTTATTTCTCTGTTAAGTTTCTCTCTGGTTGACCTGTCCATTGGTGAGAGAGGAGTCTTGAAATCAATTAGAGTGTGGTTTTTGATGTATGTTCTGAGTTCTAGTAATGTTTCTTTTACATATGTGGGTGCTTTTATATTAGGGGCATAGATATTCATGATTGAGACTTCCTCCTGATGAATTGTTCCTGTTATGAGTATAGTGTCCATCTCCATCTCTTCTGATTGATTTTAGTTTGAAATCAATTTTGTTGGATATTAGTATAGCCACATCCACTTGTTTCTTAGGTCTCTTTGATTGGAAAACCTTTTCACAACCCTTTACTCTGAGGTAGTGTCTGTCTTTGAGATTGAGGTGTGTTTCTTGTAAACAGCAGAATTTTTTATCTTGTTTTCACACCCAATCTCTTAACCTGTGCCTTTTTATAGGTGAATTGAGTACATTGATATTAAGTGATATTAATGACCAGTGGAAGTTAACTCTGGTTATTTTTTTTCTCTTTGGTGGTAGAGTTTGTGTGTTTCCCTTCTTTGAGTTGTGCTGGTGGAGGGTTGTCAAATACCTTTGTTATTATTGATGTTTTTGGCTTCCTTGGTTGGTGGTTTTCCTTCCAATATTTTCTGTAAGGCTGGGTTTGTGGCTACATATTGTTTAAATCTGCTTTTGTCCTGGAATATCTTGTTTTCTCCATTAATGGTAAATGCAAGCTTTGCTGGGTATAGTAGTCTGGGCTTGCATCCATGGTCTCTTAGTTTCTGCAGCACATCTATACAAGACCTTCTCGTTGTCATGGTTTCCATTGAGAAGTCAGGTGTAATTCTGATAGGTTTATGTTTATATGTTACTTGACCTTTTTCCTTTGCTGCTCTTAATATTCTTTCTTTATTCAGTATGTTTTGTGTTTTGATTATTTTATGGTGAGGGGATTTTTTTATACAGTCTATTTGGTGTTCTGTATGCTTCTTGTACCTTCATAAGAATAGTCGTCTATAGGTTGGGAAAGTTTTTTCCTATAATTTTGTTGAATATATTTTCTGGGCCTTTGCGTTGTAATTCTTCTCCTTCTTCTACCCATATTATTCTTAGGTCTGGTCTTTCCATGGTGTCCCAGATTTCCTGTATGTTTTGTGCTGGGAATTTGTTGGATTTATTGTTTTCCCTAATCAATGAGTTTATTTCCTCTATAGTATCTTCAGCGTCTGAGATTCTTTCTTCTATCTCCTGTATTCTGTTGGTTATACTTGTCTCTGTAGTTCCTGTTCAATTACCCAGATTTTCCATATCTTGCCATCTCTCAGTTTGTGTTTTCTTCATTGCCTCCATTTCATTTTTCAAGTCTTGAACTGTTTCTATTACCTGTTTGATTGCTTTTTCTTGGTTTTCTTGGGTATCTTTGAGAGATTTATTCATTTCTTCTACCCTTTTTTTTGTCTTCTCCATTTTTTAAAGAAGTTTTTCACATCCTGTTTTAGGTCCTCTATTATTTTCATATTGTTATGTTTAAAGATGATTTCTTCTACTTCTTCTGGAATAGGGTGTTCAAGTCTTTTTTTGTGTGATCCATGGATTATGGTGTTGTCATGTTGCCCTTCAGGTTGCTGGAGGAATTATTGCATTAACATCTGCCCATCTCTTCCTTCAAATGCAGCCAGGACAAGTTGAGGCCAATGTGAATCAGGTAGAGTGGGGCCAAGGGAGGGGGAAATTCACAGATTCAGGGTCTTTGGGGCCTCCATAATCTTCCTTATAAGTTCCTCTTCTCCTGCTATGTGCTCAGGGCACAATCCAACACTCCTCATTGCTCTGTAGGTGTAAACACTGATGTCTGGCTATTTTGATGGAAGGGCTTCTTCTTCAGATTCTCAAGAATCCCTGACCTTTCAGGGCAAACCTTACAAGTGTAGACACAGGCAGATAGACAGACAGACAGGCAGACAGACAGACAGACAGACAGATACACTGCTGAAGTATTTTGTTCTATGAGGCAATCTTCATAGGCCAGGTTACCCCCACCTTCATCTCTCTGCAGTCCTTCTGAGTCTTGTTCTGAATGAGTTGCGGTTGATATAAGGGTAGCCTGCTTGGAGGCCAGGAACAGCACCAACAGGATCCCTCCCTTTTGCTTCTTCCATTCCAGTTGCAGTTCTATCTCTATACCTGAAGTGAGTCTGTCTCTACACATGGTGAGTCAGTCCCTCATACCTTATTGACTCAGTCTTTCCATCCCACCCTACAGTCTGCCACACTCAAGTGGTCTTCTAGACTGCACAATTGGGGATGTGTTTTCCAGAGGCTATGAGGCAGAAGCTAAAGTTGACACTGGAGAAAGACTGAGGAGAAAGTGCTGAGTATAACTAGAACTGGCCTCTTACCTGCCTGAGAAAGGCCCACCAATTGTCCTTTCCTAAAACAGACATGCTCTTGCATGGCCCTCTGACAGGCACAGATCTCTGCAGGTTCCTGGCTTAGCTCACCAGGATGCAGGGTTTCCTTACAGACTGCAGCTGTGCTCCTTTCTGTTGACAGAGGCTTCTGTCCTGCCCAGTCCTGCAGTCTTTCAGTCCCAAAGAAACACACTGATGTCTACTACATTAATTATACACTTTTTGACCTATTAGCTCAGGTTTCTTATTAATTAATTTTCACAAATTAACCAATAATTCTTGTCTGTGTTAGCCACGTGACTTGCTACTTTTATCAGCAATGCATTCTCATCTTGTTTCCTCTGTCTGGGACACACTGCAGACTGACTCTTTCCTCTTTCCAGAATTTTACTGTTTTCATTGCTCCACCTCTACTTCCTGCCTGGTTGCCATGCCTATACTTCCTGCCTGGCTACTGACCAATCAGCATTTTATTAAAATAATGCAAGTGACAGGATAAAAGACCATTGTCCCATAGCATCTCTTGGTTCAAAATGGAGGGCAAGATGATGAGAGATGGCTGATATGATGAGGCGACCCCTGCTGAGAGTGAATGGGAAGATAAATAGAATTAAGGCTCCTCTGAGGGTTAGGCATTTTCCCCAGGACTCCAGTTCCCTCTGCACTGACTTCCCAGTTCTAAAAGGATATTTCTAGTTCCCCAGGCTGCTTCAGTCTCCCTAAGTTCATACCTGTTCATATCAAAGGATCCAAAACTTAGATCTGTAAAGAACCAATGTGCTACTCCTTGCAGCAACTGCAAATCAGGATACCACTTCTTACTTTCATAGCACTAGGAGGTTTAAGCCAGGAGACTGTGCTATCTGGTGGAACCTACCTAGAATTGCATGCTAGCTTTTAAATTCTAAGACAAGCATGACAATGAGTATAACTTACCAGGGTATACAGGCATAACTAGACCTTTTCAAAGGGTGGAGCCAAAGAAGTCTGGGATATGTCCAGCTGTTCACAGGGGCTGGAAAACCCTGAAGGCTTAGTGTTCAGTACTCCTACACTTCTGTGAAATATAAATATGACTTCCTGCTGAGTCTTCCCACCAAAGGTGACATCTGCAAGATATAACACACATTAGTCATTAGATTAGGAGTCCAGCGGTCTAAATCCCTACCTTAAAATCTCAGAGTCCTATTTTTAACCCACCTACCTGTCAATTCCAATTCTAATTTTGTTAAACCCCAAAACCCTTGAAAAGTCAAGAGGACCTGGATAGTTTAGTTGAAAGAAATCCTCTCACTAAATTTCTGGTTTTCCCTGCAACACACTCAGCCTCAGACCTCTGAGCCATGACACTTAGCATTGTAGTCAATTTGTTCCAAGTTCCCCAGGGATGCCAAGAAGCTGCCAAATCACCCAAACTCATCTTGGGCAGGGCGGTGAGGGTGGGTGTTTTGGTTTTATGCCTCCTGGGTGCTGCAGGTATATGTAAACCCTCCCTACCTCCTGAGATCTCCCAAAAGCTGTCTTCACTATGGCCAAGGATGTCTCTACAAGGATGTCATCATATCCGAAGAAAAGGGTAAATTGAAGCATCTTGATACTTTTGTCTTGCAATAATTTATTACCCTCATACAGGAAATCCCGGGAATTCTGGATCCCCAGGTTCTCTATTGTGAGTCAGACCTTATGGCTCTGATGTAGCATTCAGCCCTCTCCTTGCCCTGACTACGGTGAAGGCAAGCATGAATAAAAGAGAGTCCAGAACAAATACCCTAGGCACTCTGTCTGCACTGTTCCACAATTTTTAAAATATTATTGGTGTTCTAGGTTTTCTTATTCTTTTTGAACTTGCATGAATACAAAATATGTTATAAACTTGGAAGTGTTATGGTCAACAAGGTGGTAGATTATAAGGTTACATAGTTCCTAAAGTATATGTAGTAATTCAGCTCTATAGGGAATACCTGCTTTTGCTCTACATGACTGGGCTGGGGGCACTCTTGCTCATTTCAATGTCATTCTGTAATCTTCTCACCTCTGGTTTGTGCCAAAGATGGACCAGCACATGTGCCCTTCCTTACTCTTGGGGAATGTGTTCTATTAGTAAAATTATTTGAGTCAGCCAATGAGGGTATTACATGGATTTCAAAGTCTATTAAGTACTCAGGATTTCGAAATGTCTTGCAAAGGCACATCACTCATATAGTTTGGAGACTTAATCCAGACATGTTGCCTGTCTTCACTCCTGTGTTCATTTGGCATTGCTGTTCCCTTTCCAAAGTAGTCTCCCGGTTTTTGCATCACCTTTCACTACAGAATTTGTACTTCTAGACAATATTTACTAATTATTTGTAGCATGCTCTATCATTTTTGTCACCTCAGAGTCTATAGATCAAAAGCTACAGTGTGATCCTTCTGATTGCTTCTCTGAACTATGTAAAATGTATTATTCTTCAAGACCACAATTATGTAGCTCTGATTTCAATTACAAAAAGAAAGGAAAAGGAAAGATCTCAACAGTTGCAACAACCACAGTGACTCAGGCTCTTTTTTCTTCCTCTCACCTTTTAAATCATTTATAGTGGTCCTACGGCCCTGCAGATGACTGATGCTGTCCAGCTTAAAAGACGGATGCTCAGAAGATCAGTGAGTCTCTTATGTTTTATGCATAAATAGTGGAAAATTCCTATGTCCCTAGGGCAGCAGTAATAAAGTTATTTATTTTAAATAAAGTTTACATTCCCCCTGAGGTTTATTATCTATTGTTAGGGTGTTTGGTGGGGTGTGTTTTGGTCAAAGAAAGAGGTCACTCCATGAATAAAATTTTTGAGGCCTGTTTGAGCGGAACCCCAAACAACTGTATAAAGATATACTTATTGATTGTTACATCAAGTTGATTTTTTCTGCAAAGTATTTTCTCATACCAAGGTCCTATCGAATCTATATGTCTCTCTTTTAGAAAAGCGACACATGCCATGTGACTTTAGTCCTTTGCTGTGTGGATTTGCCGTCCACAATGCCAGAGCTGTCTCGTGACCAGAGTCATACAAAGACTGTAATGCCCTTTCAAAAAAAACAATTCAATAAATTATGGAAAACAATCATTGTTTTTCAAAATGTTTCTTCACTGTTTTTCACAATGATTCTTCAAGGTCAAAATACTAAAAGAAAACAACTATTCACACTAATTTTTATACCTTGGATACAGTGAAAACTACTCATTCTAATGGCTTCCCCAGATACAGTGACTCTGTTAAATTCTTACAACATCTATCTAATTTCTAACTATTGTCGGGGTCCAGCCCCAACATAAATTATCTCTAACACCAGTGTAGAAGCATGGGAATAATTGAGACACAGTTCACACAGCAGTATCAGGAGAGATTCCCAGGGTTCATTCAGTTTCTAAAGATCACCCACATTTATTATTCAAACAGCTTTTATATCAAAAGGTAAAGTGAGGGAAAATTTATTAGCATTCTGTTTCCAGGGTAGTAGGACTAAAGCCATGTCCACAACTATGGCTGCTCTGTCACTTAGCTTGGGTTAAGAAGGAGCAGAATGATATTAGCATATCCTGATCTTTTGTTTAAGATGGCGACAGCCTGTCTAGAAAATTAGGTGACCACCTTCTGTGTGGTCAGGTATGAACTGGCCTGAAAGTTTGACCACCATACAATGTATAAATATGTAGGCCCCACAATCGATCTATCTATCTATCTATCTATCTATCTATCTATCTATCTATCTATCTATCTATCTAT